CCCCCTCACCCCCCCGCGTTGGAATTTCGAAAAATCCTTTCTTAGTGTGCGTTTCCATGACGTACCCTAACTGTGTACCAAATTTCACCTCTTTAGGTTAAGCGGTTTGCTCTGGGCGATGATGAATCAGTGAATGAATGAGTGAGTCAGTCAGGACAAGCAATTTTATATATTTAGATGTAAGACATATCTAACATGTCAAACTGTAAGCTGGAGATCAATCTAAATCTGGTGTTCACAATCTTTCTGTAGTAAAGGGCCCATGATACTGAGAACAGGATGAAATACTTTTTAAAAACGTAAGATTTTGTAAGATTGTAATATAAGCAATAAAATTATATACTTTTTTATTTAAAGTTACAGATGAAGAAGATAATAAATAATATTTAATTTATTTAATTTTAGTGAGAACTTTGTAATTGTAATTTTTTGACCAGTGTTTCACTATTAGGAGGAATCTAGATGTTGCAACTTGATTAATTACACTCATGAATTACAATTCACAGCTTCAATATTGCCAAGTTTACTAATTTGTAAAAGAAGTTCCTAAATACAATGGATAATTAATCTTCAAATTTGTCAGTTAGACCCTTGTGACTTTTGTTCAGTGGCTACATAGAGTTGCTGTAAATTACTTTGATGTAAATACATTTAACCCATTCGCTACATTTGTTTCGCTTTGAATGCCACTCAGAAATTCACAAAAAATTTATCTTTTTATATGAAATAATTATTTCCACTTTAATGCAAATCTAACATCCAAAAAAATTTTGGGGAGATAATTTCCACAAAATAAAAACCCCTCCAAAGAGTATAAAAAAAATTAAAATAATTTAAAATAAATGCTTTTATTTGAAAAATATAGCTGCAAGAATTGTTATTCATTCATTTAACAAGGCCTGAAATTTCACACATGTAGTCTACATTGTTTACAAACTGGTTGACCTTGAGAACAGCTGGTGTCAGCTTTCCCGGGTAGTTCTTGGGAATATTGGTTTGAAGCAGGAGGGGAGCTAACTTACCGCATCTGTTCAAATATAACACAATATTTTCGATTTTTATGCTATTAAAATATGGGGGACTGAAAAAATGTATGGGAAAAATTCTACTGAATAAAAAACAAAAAACCTGCTGATGTCATAGAAAACATCCAATAATGTTTTAAAAAATTTCACTGAAGTCAAAACGGTCAAATAGAAAGAAGTTTGGAACGATTTAATTAATTTAATAAAAAACTACCATAAAAAACAATAGCACAATTAATTACCTAATTAATAAATCGTCGTAAAATATTTTCGTAGCAAAAACAATACACGAAATTTGCAGAGATCATAGATAATGATGTATATATGCTGACCCACACATTTTTGGAAAAGTTATAAGTCAAGACCCTTTTTTATAAGATCTTATGGCCTATGCCCAAGATAACTCGGGTTATGGACTGCACAGCGTCATGTGCAGCCCGAGTTATCTCGGGTTATGGGCAGAAGGGATTAAGGACCTTGATAATATGCTGACTGTAAAAAAAATCAAGGACCACAGGTTGCCTATACATGATCAAAATTCTGTGGAACATGTAGATTAAACTGACAGTTTAATATTAAGAGAAATTACTTTAAATAAATAAAACCAAGATTATATTCATATAATGTGCTTGATAACTTTATATTACTAAGAAGTCCTATATTAGTTTTTCTTCTTGATGGATTATGGATTTTTACAATCTTATTATTTAAATATTAAATATACTTAAAAAATAAGAGTAAAGTACATATCTTTTATTTTATAGATTTCATCACCAGTTGGAGAAGAAACAAATTTTTCAAAAACTTATGGACAAAATGGAGAAAAAAAAATTAAAGAAAATAAAATTCATGGTGTTTATTTGACACTAAGTGATAGAGAAAGAATCAGAGTATTTATTCANAGTCAAGACCCTTTTTTATAAGATCTTATGGCCTATGCCCAAGATAACTCGGGTTATGGACTGCACAGCGTCATGTGCAGCCCGAGTTATCTCGGGTTATGGGCAGAAGGGATTAAGGACCTTGATAATATGCTGACTGTAAAAAAAATCAAGGACCACAGGTTGCCTATACATGATCAAAATTCTGTGGAACATGTAGATTAAACTGACAGTTTAATATTAAGAGAAATTACTTTAAATAAATAAAACCAAGATTATATTCATATAATGTGCTTGATAACTTTATATTACTAAGAAGTCCTATATTAGTTTTTCTTCTTGATGGATTATGGATTTTTACAATCTTATTATTTAAATATTAAATATACTTAAAAAATAAGAGTAAAGTACATATCTTTTATTTTATAGATTTCATCACCAGTTGGAGAAGAAACAAATTTTTCAAAAACTTATGGACAAAATGGAGAAAAAAAAATTAAAGAAAATAAAATTCATGGTGTTTATTTGACACTAAGTGATAGAGAAAGAATCAGAGTATTTATTCAAGATTTTTGCATTCAGGGCCTTCTACCTTATGTGGAGAAACAGATTCGTAATTTAAATGATCAGGTATTAATTCTGAAAAAAATTTTAAATGTTAAAAATAAAAATACAACAATAACAATTAAATATATTTGTTAAACTTACAAAATTTAAGAAAATTCTTATTATAGACAATACATAAAACTGTCTTCTAACTTTTTTCTTTTGCACACATGAGGAAATTAACATTTCTCCAGCAGAGTCAACGTTTTCTTAGGCTACTTCTTGTCCTCAATATGTAAAACTTTTAAAAATCTTCCTCTGGCAACAGCACAATTAAAAAATAAATACATTTGATATATTTGAAATAAGTCTAACTTCTTTCAAATTTTTCATCAACTATATTTGTTGTCATTAAATTATTATAAACTAATCAATGAAACTAAAAATATTGATATTAACTAATGCAATTTTAAATGAAAGTATAATTGTAATGTTTGTTGAAATTGTGATTCTTTTTTCTGTTAATAGATTTCTATAAAAGACTGACAACTTATATAATAATAATTATTATTGAAAAACATGGTTTATTAGTGATTATTACTAATTAACTAAAACATTTTCAAATGCATTCAATTCTAATAAAACAGAAATATTTAAAATTTGAAATAGTTTAATATTATTAACTCACAATACATATCAAAGCTCAAATTATATTTCAAATTCATTAAACAAAATTGTCAGAATATTTTTGGCTATAATTTTACTATTTATGACTAATACGGTTTTATGTTAATTCTAAATTTGTGTGTGTAGAGATAGTGGTCCAGATAACATAACTGGTAATATATCTGCTCAGCTTGCAGGAGTTGCAGATTCATATCTTTTAGATCAATCTCTTTCTTTCAGACAGATCTAAATTAATTAATTAAATAAATTTAAAGATAAGATCTTCATTTTCCTGGAATTACTCAGTGCAGCAGATATGCTCAAACAAAAGTTCTTTTGTGAAGATTGCTTGGCTTTTTTTATTTTTTTTACAGGAGATAAGGGTTATTTCCTAAAAATTTCATTCACCAGTGTGGCTAGCTTGGTTAAAAGATTTCTGGTTATGAAACTGCAGAGAACTTCGTTTTCTGAAATTCTACTAGATTTATACAAGAGGCGAGTTTTTCTTGGGCAGGATAATACATAGTTTAGGATTTAGTGTAAGGTTGGAAGATATTATCTACAGAAAATTTAGTCAATTCTCTTAGGATAATAATAATATCACATTTTAATGAAGCAAATGAAAATGAAATTTGGTGTACTCTATGATAATTTGATAACTAGTTATAATTTGTTATCAATATATCTTACAAATAAACATAAAATTTAGGCATTTGGGGAATTATGATAGCAGATATTAATAAAAAATTTCAATTTTTTAGGAATAATTAAATTATTAATTAGGATTATGTATTGAATAAAATTTAATAGACTTATTGCAGAAATTGATGGAAAAATAATTTTAATGGATCAAATTGTATAACAAAAGTTTTAAAAAAATCTATTTTTTAAGAAATTATTATTTTTTTAATATATAAAGCAGTTTTTTCAAATATTGAAAATTTCATTATTTGAAAGTAATTTACTTTGTCATTTTAGACATAGTAAAGTTTATTTCATTTGTATAATATTCTAATTCTCATCAAAATTGTATAAAAAGCTATGTATTTTTTGTAATTTATATCATCATTCTAGCTCAAACTCTGCAAGCCTGGAATATATTACAAAATAGCAATGAATTGAACCTTAAAAGATATTCCAAGATAATTTATTGCAAATTCTAACATTTTTGCTCTTCAAAGGAGATCTTCCTCAGGATTCTTTAAATTGGAATGAGGAAATGGAACATTTTTAAGAATTATTTAAAAAATGTATAAATAAGAATTTTTTAAACTAATTCTCCTAAAAAATTTTAAAGTAATTTAAATCAATTAAATCGAATTTAAATCTCTCCAAAATATTTTTTTTTATATCATCATTAAAATATAGCTTTTTTTTTATTATTTTAATTTTGAAACTTGTATTAATACTTCAGAATCTAAACTGATAAATATTCTATGTAGTACTATAGAATTATAAAGACTTTTACAAAATATTAATTTATTTGAAATTTGCTTAAATATATATGCTTGATAGTTAATTCATTCAACTAATAAATAAATGTAATTTGTTTTTCATTGTCCTTATTTAATATTGTTTTAGTCATTAATTGTTTTCATATTCAGGTAGCCAACAGAAAGGGAATTCATCGTTCATTATTTAGTGCTACAAAAAAATGGTTTAGTGGAAGCAAACCAGGAATGCAAGGTCCAACATCTTCAAGTACTTCTGTAATGTACGTATTCATATATTTTGGTTATTAATTTTCTTCTCTATAAACATTGCTTTTTATGATTATATTGAAACAACTTCTCGACTGTAAGAAACCTTGCATTTTTCGAAATTGAATGTGATTTAATCATTTAAAATTAAGAAAAATTAATTCAAATATTTTAAATGTAATAACTCATCAGAAGCTTTTAATTGTTTCGACAAATTTAGTTTGTAATGTTGCTGATACAAAAATATTTTTGAGTAACTACTTATTCTAATAGAAAAGTAACAGTGTTTTGTAGTGTACAAATTTGTAAATCTTTGTGTGTAACNGTAATAGAAGTGATTGTAAATGCTGTGGACTTGTGGACTAGCAGATGGATTTTCTCAGTACATGTAATTTTACTCAAACTAAAATTATTTGCATATTTATTTTTGATTTTGAAGTTTTCTTTGGTAGGATACTATTAATTTTTTATTTCTATTTAATATCTGTTAATGTCTACATATAATATCAGTGTTTTCCTCAAATCAGTTTTACTGATTGATCAACCAGCTAAATATTTCTTCCAACCAATAAAATAAAATAAAAAATAATTGTATTATTTTTAAAGATAACTGGATTATGGATTAGTATACTATTGAATATTATTTTGATATTAACTGAGATTTGTAAAGAAATTTGCAGTAGCAGTTAACAAGCATTGCAGATTGACCACCTGAAATTTTTTTGAAGAAAACACTTAATATAGTATTTCAGACATATACTGTTGTTAGCTTATTAATAATAATCATTAATCATTATTATGGATCCAAATTATTTCTTTAATTTGTTAAAGTAGTAATATAAATTTTCTAATAATGTTTTTCAAATAAAAATGATAAAAAATGCAACATATTTCAAAATTTATATTTTTTAATTTAAATTTTTGTGAGGTGCATAATTACTCTATGATGAATTTCAGTTTATCTGAAAGATGCTATATTGATTTTGAGATACGTGATGGTCAAACTTGAAATTTGTAATTTTTTTTATTTAGTAGCTGTTACTATATGATTATATAAATCATCTAATTTTTAATATTTCTTGTATCACCTTTTGTATTAAAACCAGCCATTTTCATTTTCTAGACAGTTCATAATGTGTCTTGAAACTTTGTAATTATAGACTTACATTCTTTTGAAATTTATCTATCATAAGGAATTGTTAACAACCGTTTATCTCTACTGTAATTACATGTAATTATAATAATTGGCCAATAAAATATCTCTAACATGATTCTCCCTCTTTCTTTATTTGTGTGAGTTAAGAATATGTGAACTTCATATGCTTTAAGATTGCTAGTTGTCACAAATATAATAATAATGAGTAGATCATTTTTAAGTTTATATTATCAAAGAGAAATTTAGGACAAATTTTTTTAGTTGCAAATCTCTGATAGGAGGAGACTGATTATAATTATTTTGACTGGAAAAATTAGAAATTGATAATCTGTTGACCATGGGCTAGAGTAATTTAGTTGATAATCTTATATATTAATACTATAATTAAAAAAAATTTTATAGTACTGACTTATTAAAAATTATAATTACTGACTATATTTACTTAATTAATTTTAATTTTATTCTTTAAAATGTATAAAATTATTATTAAACTATTCTTAGGAGATGGCTGCATTGTCAGTTTTTATGATGGGATCTTCATCCCAAAGACAATTTCCAACACATTATATGGATTCTGCTATTACAACATATTTAAATACATGCAAGTAAGTTTCNGCCTGATATGAAGTCTTAATGGGCTATATCCAGCCTGCAGGTTGCCAGTTTGCAACCCTTGATCTAGATCATCAGTGAAATCAACAGAAGGGAAATCAATACTTATTTAACTATTAAAAAAATAACATTATTTCCAAAAATTACTTCAAATATATAACTGATCTTATAATGTTGTTTGTGTTATACATTATCATAGAATTCTAATTAGTACAAATATTTATTTATAAATTCAAACTGTATTGTTTTTCTTCAATTAAAATTAGAAATTATGTCTGTCTAACAATGCATATCTTGCTGTTATCAATTTTATTTCACAAGCTTATTTCACTTTATTATAGTACTGACTTATTAAAAATTATAATTACTGACTATATTTACTTAATTAATTTTAATTTTATTCTTTAAAATGTATAAAATTATTATTAAACTATTCTTAGGAGATGGCTGCATTGTCAGTTTTTATGATGGGATCTTCATCCCAAAGACAATTTCCAACACATTATATGGATTCTGCTATTACAACATATTTAAATACATGCAAGTAAGTTTCTTAAATAAAAATTGTTTATTTATAGTGACGTCGTCACAATGTCATGCTGCAATTTTTAACATATTTTGAATTTATTTTATTTAAAATATATGCTTTTCACCTGAAATTAGTAGTGGATTGTCTCTGTACATCATACCTTTTCTTCAACAGTAGAGTTGTGCTGGTCAAATATCTAACTCTTTTCCAGAAAAACTTTTAATTGAAATAACGTCACTTTTGTTGAAAACCGATCGTTCCTATATAGTTAATTGGGACCTAGACCAGGCATGGCCATACAGCCCGCGAGCCAGATCCGGCCCATCTAATGAATTTATGTGGCCCGTGATCAATCTTTCGTTATTAGGTACTGAAGGCCAAATAGCTCGATGAAACATTCTGACGCCTAAAAAATAAAGGTCAACAACTCACTGTGCGTTTAGAGTTAACACTCCATTACAAATGTCGTAAGTACAGCGTAGAGCAGGGGTCGCCAAACTTTTTTGATCGTCAACCCCCTACAACTTTTCGACACCTCACATCGACCCCCACCAAAAAGTGTGTTACAAGCAAGAAAAAGCTCTTACTATTTTAATATATATCTTTTAATTTTACATTCTTTTACATTTATTGTACATATGTTAATAATAATTTTTGTAACTGACAATCAATGAAACGGATAAGCTTGATAATCCTTAGCAAGATTAGCAATATTCGGTTCAAAATTTGTAAGATTTAGTCTTTTCATCGACCCCCTATAATGTTATATCGACCCCAAGGAGTCGATATAGACCACTTTGGCGACCCCTGGCATAGAGTGTTGATAAAGCATGATAATGTGAAAAATGTATTTGTAATCTTTATGTACAAATCAGTCTCTACGGGATGACACCGCAATGAGATCTCGCACTACCTCAAAATCTTCCTAGGGCAGCCTTTGGTTCGGCCCATGGANTTATTTATAATATATAAAAATAAATATGTTTTTGAATAATATAAGTATTTGCATCACCTGATATCTCAGTTCATAACTTTTGTAAGTTTGCCATAACTTTAGGGGGAATTGGTTAATTCCACGTCAGTGATGGTCTAGAGTCCATTTGTATGTGGATGGTGGCGGAGAAGACAAAGATGACATGTGTCTAACAGTAAACCATTTATTTTAATGTAAAAACAACTTACATAATACTAAAATACAGTTTGTGTCAAAGACTGGATGGCTAGGTGCGTTGACTGTCGATTTAAAGAGTCGCTTGACTTTTGATGGTGACAGTGATGGTANCGTCGACTTTGAACAGCTGCAAATATACAATGAGTTGACGGATCTACTTGAAACTTGACACGTGTTTATGAAATAGTAGTACTACTTATAGAATAATAAAGTGACGCTCCTAGTAGCGCCACCTCTTATCGAACGACAAAACTTATTGAACAACCTGGTAATACACTGGTATTTGAATGTATTTGTAAATTATTTAACTCTTTTCTAAATAATAATTTCTTTATCAAATGACTGATGCAGCAATGAATTTCTAGAGGTATAAATATTCTTCTTTTTATAAATGATTGATAATGAGCATTAAATGAAACAATAATAATTTTGTTTGATAATCCACAAAAGAAAGAGTATTTGTGACTTGAAATAGCTTTTGAAAATGGAATTTCTACATGTTCAGTTTGTGGTTTTTGAAAATCTTTTAATTTTTTTTTGAAACAAATGACATGTCATCATCTATTAATGAAGAATCTTAAATATGAGAAGTAGATGTTCTTGATTAAAATATTGGAATTTTCTGAATGTAAGAAATAGAAGGAACTTGTCTTGAGTCTATTACACTCACAAGACCTACCATTTTATCCAATGATGATTTACATTAGTTTCAGACTTCTGAAATCAAGAAAACAACAAACAAACTTTTTTTATCTTAGTTCAATAGGAAAATCAATCATAAGTTGTAAACAGAACACGAAGCATACTTTTTTGCATTTCACTTTCTAGAAAAATCATAATAATAAGTATGGTAAGTGATGGCTAGTTCCTGTTTCCATCTAACACTAATTCATAGCAAAAATAAAGAAATAGAATACAATATAATAATATTAAGGCTTAGGAATGACAAGACATATATTTTTGAGAGAAAACTTTTAATTAAAAATAATTGAAAAGCATTATTTTTTGATTTTTCAACTTGAATTTTATTTTTAAAAAATAAGCAAGTTTTTTTTTATAAGGATGAGTTTTTGATTGAAATAACTACAGTCGACCCCCCTATAAGATAGAAATACGTTCCATTCTTTAGGAATCCGATTTCTTACGAATCCTTCCAATCACAACCCGACACGTGTCAAGTTTACGGACTACAGCTGTTTGAAAGATTTTCTTCCATAAAATTAATCGATTCTAGACTAATCCGACTCAACATTTCCAAAATACGTATATATTTTTTGGGAATAATCCGTATAAACTACGCTATAAACAAAAAATTGTAGGATTACTTACCGAGTGTCACCATTCGACATTGCCATTGCTCAACATTGTTTTCGTCGCGGAACAGCTCA